GAAGACTAAATACATGATTATTAGCAAAAGGACAGCCCAACATGCAAATTATAGATTGAAGATACTGAAATCAAACAGGTGCAACAATTTAGATATCTGTCAAGTGTATTAACAGAGGGCCGAAATTGTGACATGGAAATTTGAATGTGCATTGGGATACTGAAACATGCCTTCCAGAAGCTAAGCAAAGTATTAAGAAACAGAAAAATATAGTTAGAAACAAAGAAAAGAGTACAGAACTGTTATGCAATATCAGTCCTCCTATATAGCAATGAATGCTGGACAACGTCTTCACAGGTGAAGAAGAGACTTGAAGCAACAGACATATGGTTCTACAGAAGGATGGTGAGAATACTATGAACCAAAAATATGAGCAATGATGAAATTCTAGAGACAATAATACTCCCCCACACATTAGGAAATGAGCCAGAAGACACTGACTAAGGCCTGGACTTTGCACTCAGAGACATTCGGCTGACTGTCATAAAGTAAGTTTAACCACACATTTCACAGCGCTCTTTGAATACTTAATTACTTTATAAAACTTCACTGCAAGGAAGATTGAAAATTTTATTGTTCTTGTATATTTCCAAAAAGAATATATAAATGTTATTTCAACTGATGTTCTGCTTCTACTTTTCCTTCAGAAAATAACCTTTTTTTATGCATCATTTAAAAGATGCGCTGTTAAATCTTTAGAAACCTGCCACTCAGATAGCAACAAAATCTGGTTATACAGATCCCAACACCATGTTCTGTCAAGCATTTACACAATTTAGTCAGGTAGATTATTTGTTGTTTTCCTCTGTCCATCTTGCTTTCAATGTCCTGTGAGTATTAAATTTTGTATGTCCTCTTTCTTCATTATGCACACTAGAAATTTCAACTATCACTTTCTGATGTTAAGTATAGACTAGTTTACATATCACTGGAAGGTGGTTGTTTCTGCAGTCAGCACTTGTATGTTTTGCAGTGTAAAACTGTCTTCGTGAATCTCTTATTGACAGTAACAGTTAATTTCTTCTTTTGTTTCTCCTTCTGGACTTCTCCATGTCCATATGTGTCTTCAGTGATCTTGAAACTTGTTACTACCTGATTATTCGCCACGCAATATTGAACCCATTTTTCTCTGCATTCATTAGGAATTCTTTCTCCAAATTTGCCAACTATTTCACCATCTCTCACCTTGTTTACATTGGCATTCAAGTCTCCCCATGATGATTTAATTTCTTGCGATTTGCATTGATCCTTGTTGTTGTCTAGTGTACAGTAAAACTTTTCAATTTCTTCTTCTGTACTTTGTGTTGTTGATGAAAGTCTTTCCTTTCAGTTTAACTACAAGAATTCTTTTAGATAGTTGATAGTATATCTGAACATATTTCTTCATGTCTTGGTCTAATGCAAGGGTTGGCAACCTTATTTTACCAAGTTGTGTTGCCTATGTTTAATGTCAAATAATGGATAAATATTTGTTATGACCCTTGGCTACATTAAAAGATAACAGAAGCGAAATGAATGATAAAGTGAAAGAGGCCAGGGAGGGACTGACATGCGAGGTAGCAGAAATCTAAAGACAGTTAAACATACGCACATTATACATACATGCCTCATGAATGTGTGGATCATACCGCATGTGTACGTACATAAGTGTATATGTTTGCAACTATTTGTACTCGTATGTATGGGTATATGTGCTTTGTTTTTGTTTAATGTGTGTGTGTGTGTGTGATTCATTTGTGGAACAATTTTCAATAACAGTTTCAAACCTACACATCATAATTTCATCCATTTCACTTTGGTTGATTTTTTTCACTTTGAAGTATTTTGACGTTCCTTGAGGAAAAGTAATTTTTGTTAGGTGTTTTTTAATTTTAGATTTTCTTTTGTTTTTCTGATTTCTCAATGTTTATTTTCATTATGGTTTTAAATATTTAGGTTGACAGGGGTCTGTATATGTAATTTTCCTTAATTTTTCATTAATGGCCTTCGTCCGGCCCACAACCCATCATTATAACACGATTCGGTCCGCGGGGTCAAATGAGTTGCCAACCCCTGGTCTAATGTAAGTCCTACTCTCCTCTCATTTTTCTCTCCACCCGCATATATGATCGTATTTGTCACTGATGAAATCTCGAGTTTTCCTCCCTCGTTTTGCATACGCCTAAAATATTAATCTTTAACCTATTTATTTCCTGCTTTATATTTTCTAACTGGCTCTACTGATTTAATGTTCTGAAATTCTAACAGTGGATATTTAATAAATACTGAGATTTGAATCCCAAAATGAGCCATACTATTCGAGTTCTGGTTTATCATAATCTTGGAAAAACACTGGTTCAAATATTTTCCTTAATACTAATTCCAAGTTAGGATTATGAACTAGTTAAACTTTATTCTTCTCATTTTCTATACTTCCAATTTCATTCTTTTTTTTTTTTTTTTTCACTAATGTTCACCCAATACAAGACTTAAGAGCCACTGAAGGCAGAGGATTATTGTCTGAACTTATATTAGTGTAGGAAAGAACAAGCATTAGGTGTATAGAGCTGAAGCAGGCTTTAGAAGGAACCAGAAACCCAATCCAATACAGGAAACAAGGGATAAACTTCTACATCTGTTCAAAAGACAAGGGAAGATTGTGAACATATCTACTGCTATTGGCGAATATCAGGAATCTCTCCTCAAACAAGTGTACCCACTATATACAGCCACTCCTTAACAACAGGGTTATGTTGCAAGGAGGGGGTCACTAACTGAAAAGTTGTACCTTACCATTATTTCAGCTGTACTACACATATAATAGGTTTGTGACAATGAGCTTCAAATAGCTTTAATGTCACTATTGCTCCATTTGTCCTATTTCTAATCTATTTCAAAATTTTTATATGGTACAGTAATAAACAAATTCAAAAATCATTCGTGGGAAGCAGTGAGAAAAGATGCATTTAGATCTTTCACAAAAGGTGCATGTGTGACAATAAATGCAACAGACTAGGCCAGAACTGTTCACCGATTACACTTTCTGCACATCATTAATAAATATTATGTGGAATAATTGTAAACCAATTAATTGGTTTACAATTATTCCACATTTCAAATTTGTATTTTCGTCTTTGTTGTTTTCAGCTCAATAGTTTAAGCACTCCTGACCATGAATATAAAAAAAAAAAAAAAATTTTTTCTCATTAAATTTTATTAAAATTAATGGGAACAGCTCCATTTTGCTACATAAATTGTAAAATGATACCTTCTAGGAAAGCTCATACAACATGATTTCTTAAAATGTAAAAAAAATTTTTTTTTTCATTTTTTAAATTCAAATCTGGAATTCTTTCTTCATATTGATTATGGACACCAGATTATAAATTTAAAGAAAAATTGTTTTTTTACATTTTAAGAAAACATGTTGAATAAGTATATTTTGATTTGGCTTATATAGAAGAATCAATTTACATTTCAAACTGGACACCAAACCCATCAGCTTTTCTAAAATGTAATAATAATTATTTTCTACATATTCAGGATCCCCAGTACATAATCTATAGCAGTGTTTCTCATCCTTTGTTACTTCAGGGAACACTTGTAGACCAAGTAAAATTCTGGGGTGCACTTGAAATTTTAATAAGGAAAAATTAGTCATGAAATATGAAAATAGTGAAGTAGTCCCCTGAAATAAGCATTTATTTAAGACACTAGTAGCATGGGCCGGCGTTGTCCGTGTTTGATTAAAAAATTGTATGATTCATACAGCAATCGCTATCACTTGGCTTAAAATATTTTTGCCCTTACTTGCCTTTAAAGGAGTGCCCTTTGCCGTGCTGATGTTGCTACATGCCTTACTTCTTGCCTATCTCACACTGTGAATTTTTTCTAAGCTCTATACTAAACATTAAATCTGTTATGAAAAAAGAATTAAACAAAATGAACACAAAACGATCAGCTTTAAAAAAAGGACTCATAACTGGAAAAACTGAATGAAAAAAGAATGTTAATAACAAATACTTTTTCACACCCAACCCAGTTCTGCAGAATCAGAATCAACATTGAGTTTAAACAAGCGAACGAGCCAATTGGAGTAAAGTGCCATGCAGATTTAAATTTTTCCCCACTTGTGACGAATGCAGCTATCAATTTTTTTTGCATGCTAGTTAACATTTGTGTCAGTCAGCTGTTGGCTCTCACACTGGCCAATAGAATCTTCCTGCCTATTCATGGCAGCCAGCTATAGGCTCTCACTCTGGCCAGTATAAAATGGCCGCAAACTACATGAAAACTGCCATAGAAGCATAAAAAAAATTGATTATTTCCACTATCAATGGGAGTTGGGAAATGCAAAGTCGGTCTTGGCCTTCCCGCTAACTTGGAGCATGTGCATGTAAATTTTGGTGCAAATCCGTCGAAAGTTGCGGCCGTGCATTCGTTATACACACATACATATTGCCTTTTATAGATAGAGATTACATTGCTTAGTATATCTACCAGTTAAAAAATAATCATTTTTTTAAATATAAAAATAATTCATAAATTACTCTTCTGTTAACTTATGGCACACCTGGTTACCTTTCAGTGTACAATAGTGTGCCCAGGTGCACCAGTTGAGAAACGCTGATCTATAGTAACATGAAAAAAAATAATTTGAAACTAATTTTTGTGCGGAAATTTTCATGCTATATCTGAAAGCTTTGTTGTCAGGAAACCAGGTTGTTATTTGGTTGTTTTTTTTTTTTTTTGTTGTTGTTTTAATGGCAGATTAAGTTCTACGAGTTATTTAATGCTGAAATCTAAATATTTTCTATGCCTCTTTTTTTAAGATGATAATGCTTTTAGTGATACAAGTCTTATTAATTAACCAACAGCTGGGGGGAGAAGCGGTGGATTCATACATTTCTCAAGGATATCTGTGTGTAAATAAATAGAACAAACCCAACTTGAATTGGAACTCGGCTCTTCAATTTCCAATTCTGAGCCATTATCCATTACAAAACCTGCAAATCCAAGTTTACAAAACCTGGTATTCCCCAATTGATCACCCATCTAGGAACTGACCAGGCCCTACATTGCTTAACTTTGGTGATCGTATGGGAGCTGGTGTTTCAATGTGATGCAGCCATAAACCCCAGTGAACTAGGCTTAAGTTGACCCTTCATAAGAGAGATCATTAAAACATCCCATGAGTGGCTGTTAAAGTAAAGTATCTATCTATTTTTGGTGAGGAGATGAGAAAGTAAAAGTACTTAGTAAAATAAAAAATAAAAAAGCAGTTACCAATGTAACTAAGATTTGAAATAGACCAAAGAATGCATCAACATATATATATATATATATATATATATATATATATATATATATATATATAAATTTAAATAAGAAAATGAAAATGACTGGTAAAATTGAATTTCACTTTTCTGAAAATTTTTGCCCAATAAAGTTTATTAATAGAAAAAAAAAAAAATTTCCTTTTTTTTTTTTATTTCAATTGAAATTAAAATCTGATCTTGAGCTCAAAGAAAATATCTGAAGATAATCAATAACTGAAGATTCAACAACTGTTTTCAAATTTTAGCAGTAAGGAAAATGTTGTCTGAATAATACTTAACATATTCATTGCTACCCAAGTTAGTTGAACTCTTACATAATGCCAACTATGCTTTTATTAAAGTTACCATTACGGATTGCTATATAAAACTAATTACAACTTATTTTTTTCTAAATAAAACAAATACATTAAACTATAGAACTATAGAGAGTGAAGCTGTGTTTATGATGCGGTTTTGTCTCAATAAAATTCTATGCGAGGCATCTTTTTTTTTTTTTTTTTTTTCTAGAAGAAAAGAAAAAAAGATTATAAAGAACAATAAGTTTTGTTTAATTGTTATTTAAATAAATAATAAAAAACAAAGCCAAACTTTATGAAAAAAAATCTGTCCATATTTTTTTTATTTGTATCACCCCATGCAAGAGAGTAAAGCCACTAAGACAAGAGATTACTGGGTGTGGAAGAATTAGAAACAGAAACATTAATAATAAGCCAGAAGAGAAAAGAGTAATCAGGAGGACAATAGATAGTGATTCACACTGCATTTAAATTTTTGCAGATTAAAGTTGGCTAGAAAGCATGGAGCCAGAATGGAGTTCTACAAGTGCAAGAAAAGAAACTGTTTGCATAGAAGTTAGTTATGTCTAGTCAGCTCAATTGTAAATTGATGAGATTTTGATGCCAATCTAGTACTGCGCTTAAATTCAAAAAGTTTAGGTACCATAGTGAAGCACACATCTGAACAATTACCATGAAAGTATTTATAGAAAAGGCACAGAGAGGCAACCTTATGGCGGTGGAAAAGTAAGCCGAGCTGCCAGATCTGGACCAATAATATTGCTGATTCTTCTTTGAATTTTATCAAGAAGATCAAGGTAAATTGCAGGAGCACTGGACCATATGTAGTGGCAATATTCTAAGCATAGGCAAATGGTAGACTTATAGATATGTAAGAGATTCTGGAGAGAAAAATTGTCTCACATGACACAGTGAACCAACTTTCTTAGCAATTGACCTGGCAATGGATTCTCTCTCTCTCTCTCTCTATATATATATATATATATATATATAACAGAAGTAACATGCAACTTCCCACAAGTAATATATGACATAGGATATTAAACAAATTAATAAAATTTAAAATGAAAAAGCATAAAATGTTTTTAATGAAAAATTCCATCTCAAATTGTCCAGTTGAATACAATTGGACAAGGTTTTCAGGGTATGATTGTAAAATGTAAAACTTGAAAAAAACAAAAACAAACAAAAAATGAAATAAAAAGTATTAAAACACTTTTTATTAAGAAAAATGTAACAATTCACAGATTATTATTACTTTGTGACTAGTATTTCATTCATCTTAATTTCTGTTGCTTCTTTACAACTTGTACTATCAGATGTAAGTGCTTGAATTAGAAGTATTGTCAATTATTAATTTTTGATAAATATTTCTCATCTTAATTCTCTTACTCAATATTGCAATATCTTTAACTACCATTATTACACCATGGAAATCTGAAATAATGATTCATGTTAACCATTGTAGAATGATAGTCTTAGAATTGCGATGAAAAGTGGATAAAAGAAAAACATGTCAAAAATTATTAATAACTGAAAATGCGTCACTGAAAAGTAAATTCAAGGTAATATTAATTCAGAAGCTGATTTCAGTTTTTTTTTTTTTTGTCAAGAATTAAATCTCATACATTATTTTGAAAAATTAGTGTGTTTCATAAATTATTAAAATATAGAATTTCAGAAATTTTTTAAAAAAATCGAATGGCAGTTGTTTAGAAAAACATAATTATGGGTAATCTGTCTGATCACTGAAACTCTCCACTGGTAAATTGAAAAATTTTCCAAAAATGATTATCTCTTTGATATCCATGTCATAGATTTTTAGATACAGACATAAATAAATATATTTTTTGTGAGGAACTTAACATAATTTTGATTTCTTAACACAAATATACACACTCTCTCTCATATATATATATATATATATATATATATATATATAGCAGTAGATTTCTCTTATACAAACCAAGGCTAGACAGCACAGTTATTTAACACATAACTAGAGAAAGAAGAAATGGATTCATACCATTCATAAGGGTATTTTTGTAAAAGTGAACACAACAGCCTTGGCAAGAATTTGAATTCTGTATGCTGACTCAACTTTCTGAACCAATAACAACAGCACATCCACACACACACACACACACACACATATATATATATATATATGCAATGTTTTGTTTGGTGACAAAGCAGAACATGAGAGATATACTTAAAAATAGAGTTAAATGATATAAGAATATATATATATATATATATATATATATATATGTGGGTAAAATATTTGTGTGTATATGTGCATTATATTTGACAATATGTATGGTATTTAAATTATATTAATGGGATATATTGAGAGGATATGTATATATATATATATATATATATATATATATATATTTTTTAAATATATTTTGAAGTTGGATATGTATGTTTTTTAAATATTTGCCTACGTTTGTTGTGTGACTATATATATATATATATATATATATATATATATATATATATAAATATATATATATATATAATATTGAGTACTGGTACTAATAAAATAGTGCTTGATGTATAATCACGCTTTCAACCTGCACTTTAAGATTGCATTGTACATAAAACAAATTGTGCTATGGATGAGATATATATATGAGGTGCATGCCATAACTGCAGTCATTTGCATACTGGAGTTTGTGAAACTGGCAAATATTCTTTTTTTGTGTGTGGGCAAGAAATTGCCTGATGCTACATGCACATGTGTGTGTATACATAAGATGTCTCCAAAAATGAATTCATATATTTGTTAATAGCAGTTATGGTAATTACCTGAACGTTAAATACTTTCATGGTATCCTTTAATGAAACTGAGACAAAAAGGCAACTGATGTTTATATTTAAAAAATGATGTTTTACTTGAGATGTAAAAATGTTGAAGGGAAAAAAAAAGAAAATTTTCCTCAAATGAAGAGAATTAACACACAAAACAACAAAAAATAATTTAGTCAATACATATATTTAAAGACACTAGTTCCAGGATAATAATTAATAACACCATCTCACACATTTCTTCTGATCATTTCAAATCATTTAAACAAAGCTGAAATGCAATTCTTTAACTTTATTATACACATTTATTCTTCATTATGAATGTTTAACTGACATGTAATAAGCACAGATACTATTAAGAAACAGTATCTATACATTTTATAAACATGTTGCATTCTTTTCATTTATTCTTTATTATGAATGTTTTGTTCTCAGATAATAACCACAAAATACTATTAAATTGTGTAGACATTTTGTGGAGATACCCTATTTGTATATTTCTGTGTTAATGAGAAAAAAAACTTATTTCATTCTGTCACCAATTTAGATTTATGATTGCTGCACATGCACACACACTAATCATAATTCTTTGAATAAATTCATCAAGTTGAAATATATTCACAGCTGTTTTCAAGCAATGGTTTTTGTTTTGTTTTATTTTTTAATCAACTTCTAAGAAACGAAAAAATTAACTGTTTTCGAATGATGATCATCTTGATAATTGGGGATGAAGAAAAACTTATGACCGAGTTAAAATATTCGTTAACATATGCTACTGAGTAGATTTACGAATAAAATAAAAGCTCTACATATTTGGTTGTTATTTGGTCCCAATCTTCTTCAGTAGAGAAGCAGCTTCTTCATGGGCCTGGAAAAGAAAAAGGACACAAATAAATAATTAATTAAATAAGAAAAACACCAATTAAATATTTGACTCGATTATTGTTTACCAGACACACAGTTCTGACAAAAGACAACTTGAATAAAACAGTTATGGAATAAGCCTAATTGATTAAAATAGTGATGTAATTTCATCTCAATATATTGACAAGTACACCTCTGGTCTCACTGAACAATCAGATCACCATTGAACTATTATTACTACTTTATCCATTATTTGTAATTAAATTGAATATTGAAAGTAAATCTCGCATAATAATAGGTAAGGTTGTCTTATTTAAATTATTAGTTATTATTCTTAGGTTTTCCTTGTATTTATTCTTTGCTACTGTAGATGTGTTTTTTAATTGCATTTAGTCATGATTTATTCAAATCATTGGGCCCAGTAAGTGGTAGTCAAGCCAAATATTTGTTTATAATAGATCTTGCTATACATAAGTGATTTCTCCATAAAGTTAATACACATATTTTAAATGACAGTAAATATAATACTTGAATCTTGGTATAATAAAACATTAATCAAAACATAGACTGATCTTTTCTAAGTGGTCTTTCCCTCTTAGTAAAGATAACAAGCACAACAGACATTTTGCTAAGATATAAAATACTAGAGGTGTGAGGTGGCTAAATGGTTATCACCTAAGAAAATTTGAAATTAATGAATTGAGTTTCAAATCCAGAGGAGACATTCTGAACTCCACACTAAGGGATCTTTCACTTCTCTATGAATTCTTTCCCATTGCTATAAATTTTGACAAAATACATCCTCACTGGCATCCCACAATAATGAACAAGGTAGTTGTATCAAAAAGCTGTTACAGTCATAGCCAGCCATGACAGGTTCTAAATCAAACTATAAAGTATTAACTCATATGCTCAGGTATTTTTAAATGATATTTTCTGTTTTACTAATGTACTGGCAATGTATCTTGTGGTACCATGGGTAGGATTTATTAAACAAAATGTTAAACCTTCTAGTCACTCATATAATTAAAGCATATATACAAAGTATATATCCAAATCCAAGACCTCTCTCCTGTTGGAGAAACCCCTCCTTGGTTGACCTTTATCCTTTCCTATACTGGATTGTGGTATTGGGTCAGATCATTGCACCATCTTGCATTTGGCCATCTTCTAGTTCTTTTCTACTGTATTGGTGTCCACTGTCACTCTAATAGTCTACCAGTTGTCTCAGAGATGAGAGATATGGTGAGCCTATCTATATTGGCTTTTTTTGATGGTCTTGATCATGTCCTTCACACCACTCTGCTGTTGAATCCAGGTGTTCTTCTTCCCATCATGCAAGTGATTCTCTCCATTTTACATTGTTGTGGTGTTGTTGAGTGCCCATGTCTCACTTCCGTAAGTCATCACTAGCAGAACATATTCATTAAACAACTTTCTCCTGGTTTTGATTGTTGATATGTACAAATTTCATTAAAAACAATTCACAAGGTACAGTGGTTAAGTTTTTGTTTAATTTCTCTAGTTCTTTTCATTTTCTTCTTTTCTGGACATAAATTATTTAGAAATTGTCCAAATGTTCTGTCTGTCTGAGCACTTTCAGCTATACTTTTATCCATTATCAAAGATGATTTTATTTTTACTTTTAACAGAATGTATGGATTGTTTTATGTATGTATCTAAAGTTATAGGAATGATTTATTTTCCAAACACAGTCAGCACATTGTGGCTGTGTTTATAGCTGATGTTATTGAGTGTTGGCTATTTCTTTTTTATTACTAATGCTTCCATTATTTTTAACCTTTTATTTAACATGTAGATGAGTCTATCATATTTGTATTATCAATAGTATGTTGCAGATGGAGTTTGGTAGGTCTCCAAGTGTATTTAAATGAGACCTAATTGAGCTATGGTCAGAGAGATCTAATGCGAGTCTTCTTGTTAGGCGTGTTGTAGTATATCTAATATAATTGGACAATTTCCACATAATTTATGTCCAGAAAAGCAGAAACTTATAAGAACACAAAAACAAATTAAATAAAAAAAGAACAAAAAAATGCTTACCCTCAGTATCTTGTCAGTCATTTTTAATGAAACTTGTATAAAAGAGGGTTTGCTACCCAAATACACACTCTATATATAAGTATATACACAAAGTAATAAAAGAATATACAAATATTATTCATTTCTTAGTTAAAGCTTTTAAAAGGTAACTCTCTAAACTACATTCAAACAAAGATACATGGTCATGCAACCTGAAAGTAGCGAGCAATGTTACTGTTAGCCAATCCTATTAATCCTAGTAGTTATAAGAAACAAATTTGGAGAGAAATATACAGGAAGTCAAATCATGTGAAACTGAATAAAACTGGTAAATAACACGAAACCATTTAGCATGATCTACACAAAAGACAATTTATAGCCAACAAATAAGAAATGTACAAGATTGGTTGGTGAAAAAATATTCATACATGAAATGTACAATTGTAGGAGCCGGTTTTCGAGGATGATGAAATATGTCCTGATTATGAAAGGTGCATTTTGGGAGACATTAACATGATGTCTTTCTACAGTGATAAACTGATAGAAAAGTGGCCAAGCCTCATGAACAATGTCCAGAGAGAGAGAGAAAGAAAAAAAAAAAAAAGAAAGAGAGGGACTGTGCCTTTTGATACACTCATGTGAGTGATTCTCATTGGTTCTATGGTAGCCTATGTAATGTCTATTTTTTGCCACAGAAATAAGTGTGACATACAGATTTTGATTTCCACTCTCATCATAGCAAAAATGAAATTGATTGAACAAATTTTTGAAATTTTTTTTAACTAAAATTTGTTTTATATTTTGTTACTAGGTCAGGGTTATCGTTTGAAGTAGAAAAGGTGTTGTGCATTGACAAACAATAACTAAAAATGCTGAATTAGCTGAGAAAGCAGATAAACAAGATAGTGAAACAAAACCTTTTTGTGCAGAGAAAATTTCAAGAATAGTTCCTGAAAGAAAGTACAAATTCACGGAATGTTCTTAAGAGTCTCTGTAAAAAAAAAATGAAGAAAAGATTGAATTAAAGATTGCGTGAAGTATATTGTCTAAGCCACATGTGACTATTATACAGAATGCTAATTTTAGTGTCCTTTCTCGACCTTGGCACAAAGTGAAAGAAATTGATTATGCCAGATTATGTGTTCTCTCTCTCTCTCTCAGAAACAGCAACTAAGGTCCATCCAGCATACTTGCAGTAAAACCACAGGTATGCTGTAGATTGAACAAGTGTCAATAACAGGATTTGATTTGCTGCTACTGCAGACATGTTTGCTTAGAAACAAGTAATAGGTGGACATATTATTTACTAGTTTATCAATGTAATCAAAAAAATATTTTTGTCATTACATTATGATTAGATATAATCAAAAACCTTTTTGTTTTGCATTTTCTTGATTATGTTCACTGCTTCCTGAATATTTAACTAAACTAAAAGTAAAAATAACAACAGAACTTCAACCTTGTCGCTAGACTAGGAATGAAAACAATTATAATAAATAAAGCTAATTAATAATATATTCTTATATTTAAATATATCTTTAAAAAATATTTAACTACAGAGCTAATTTTAATTCAAGTGTTCTTTTAACATAACATTTCTAGTATAAACATGTGGCATTTCTAGTGGATTATCAGAAGCCTCCACTATGTAAATGGGCAATTTAACCATCTGGGACAGAGACAAAATTATCAAAAACATTTTTCACTTCAATTTGCCAAGCCAAGTTAATCACAATTTGATAAAATGATTAATAAGAAAAAAAATGATTGAAAAAGATGACAGCAGTTGAAGCCTGTCTCAACTCACTTTAGCAACTAAAAATTTTAAACTTCTAAATAAGATGTACTAGTGAATGCTAGATAATCTCATTATAGTTAAAGACAAGCGGGAACAACAATGTGGTCCTACAGAAGGATGCTGAGAACCATGGACTCAACATATGAATAACAAAGTTTTAGAGCAAACAAAAAGGACACTTATATTTAACATCAGAATGAGAGAGCTGAAATTTCTAGGGCACATAATGAGGAAAGAGGGCATGGAAAATTTGACACTCAAGAATATATTGAAGGCAAGAGAGATAGATGAAAAATACATAACCTACATAATGAGCTTATGTAAATGGTTAGCAAAATAGGGATTTGAAGAGACAGAAAAAGACAGATATTATTAAGTGATACAAAAGACAGGAAATTGTGGAGAGCCATGATCAACCATGTCCAGAGGGGACACAGCACATCAAAGAAGAAATTGTAGAAAGTAAAACAAATTTGTTATTAATTTCAAAGACAAAAAAAAAAGTAATCAGAAACAGTAAATTTTGATGGGTTAAAAAAGGATACATGATGATCAAATTAAACATTCTGAGTCAGAAAATATTTGGAAAGATATTCTTACCTTTTTATCATCTACCGTTCGTACTGGATGATCTTGTACTCTAGTGAGGAAATTTCGAGCATCATCATTTTTACACATACGGACATATGTCTTTCCTAACATTGCCAAATTCATACTGTAGAAATTGGGATCCACTGGAATGAAAAAGAAAAACTCATTTATATATACATATAAATCATTTATACTGTGTTGATTTTGAAAGTGAAAAGATTTTAGTTCTACATATAATAGCTGTCCACTCGTATTTGAGAATACCTGTCTATTAGGGCGGCTAGCCAATCCCTACTGCAGATGCTCTTTCAGGCACATTTGTGTTTGTTCAACATCCACAGAGCCAATCTATGGTTTATACTGCAACTATGCTGAGCAGTCCTTAGTTACAGTTTCTGGGAGAGAGTGTGTTATCTAGCGTGATCAGCAATCTGAACAAGGCCAACACACTCAAACCCTTAGTCACGTGACTTCATGCTAGCACAGCTATCGATGGCCCCCAAAAGTTCTGTCTACCCAATTTCACTCACAAGGCTTGGGTCAACTCACAGTATGGTTTTCATGCACTTTCCAAAGGTGCCACACACTGGGATCGCTTCCTCCAGACCAATAACATCCGGAAGTCTACTTCCTGACAAATCAACCATGGTAAGATATGGGCATATATTCATCATCATCAGGAAAAGGAGAAGAAAAAGAAGAGACGGAGAAGAAGAAGAACAACAACAACAACTAGCTGCTTATTTCTGAGTACACTTGTCTGTTAGGGTGGCTAGCTAATATTTGTTGCAGACATCTACTCTGGCACATTTGTGTTTCTTCAACACCCACACAACCAACTCTTAGTTTATACTGCAACTATGCTGAGCAGACCATAGTTACATTTTCTGGGAGAGAACGTATAATCTGGTGTGATGACAGCTTGAAAAGAGTCATTGATTATTTGATTCATTTTTTTTACAGCTTATTAACCTATTGCAGGTAAAGCCAGAAAATATTTTTAGATTGTAAAATGTTTTTTTTTTTTTTTTTTTTTTTTGAGATAATATAAGTTTTAGTGATACAAGTCTAGTAAGAAAAGCTGGGAAACGAAGCGGTGGATTCATACCTTTTCCCAATGGTATTCGGATATAAGTGAATATAACAAACCCAATTGGAATTGAAACTTGGCTCTCCAATTAACAATTCTGAGCCATTATATGTTACACCACCTGCACATCTAAGTGGTCATCCATCTAGGTACTGATTAGGCTCAATGTTGCTAAACTTCAGTGATCATATAGGAATTAGTGTTTCAACATGATATGGCCATAAGCCCTGAACAAGGTCAGTATGCTCAAACCTCTAGTCAAAAAGACTTGTGACTTCATAGGAGCAAAACTATTCATGGCTGCTAAACAGTTTTATCTACACAATTTCACTCACAAGGCTTCAGTATGGTTTTCAGAAAATTTCCAATAGTGTTACATGTTGGATCACCTCTCAGACTAATAATATCAAGAAATACCTTGTTCAATCTTTCATGGTGAAATTCAAACCCAGGTTTTGTAGTCAAAATGCAAATGCTCTAATCACTTAGCTACACACTGAGATACATAAACTAAAGGAAATCTAGGAAAAACTGAAATGAATACAGTAAAGCCTCAATTGCTTTAAGAGAAAGAATTTATGCTAAGTCAATGAATGCTAAATGTTTCCTTATAAGGAAACAGCTAATATTGCCATTACCGCTAGTATAGTAGATTTTGAATTTAACACAATTCTTCACTGGACTCTTGTGCCAAAAGAGTTTTTTTTTTTTTGTTTTACTTTAATTTTGGCTACAAAAATTGAAACTTTATTTTTTTTATGCACATTTTATTTATATGTATTTGCTTTTAATAAAATATTATGAATTATTTTCCTTTATAATAACAAGTAGTTTGTTTTTTTTTTAAAATATGCCTAAAATAAATTTTATTGAGAAGAAAATGGACATTAATGATAGATTTTAGATAAAGATTTTGGAGTCACTGTTAAAAAAAAGACTAAGAATCACTGAACTACACTGTAAAATATATTCACAACCATGGGTTCACTAACCAATTTTTGATCATAGAAGCACCACATATACTGTGTGTCTAGAATAATATAACCTGTCAGAACCCATGTCTCTTAAGGCTTATTTTGAATTCATAGCTGACTTTCTACATTGACTGCTCTGCTGAATCAAGAGAGCTCATTCTGCCTTATTGTTTAAATTATAACTGAAAAAAGATGGATTCATGCCCATTTCATGGGTATTAGTGCAAAGGAAATGAAACAGGATTGACCACAATTTGAACATGGTTTGACAATTTTGCTTTCTGCACTGATAACAGTTACTCTATCCTCATATCTATAACAAATATGTAATATTTTTTATATAATTTAATAATTTTATATTACACATTGTTACATATAATGTTAAATTAGTTTTTGCAGTCAGTTATGTGCCATACATGATACACACTTAGGTGATCATATATCTTTCTATACATGACTGACGAGGCAGATTTTTTCCCCGCAATAGATTGCCATTTCTTTCTGCGGTAGACCAATTGTCATCCAAGACTATAGAACCTGGACTGTCCTGCTAATCACCCATAACTAGAGAGAGAAGAGGATTTATACCTCTCCCAAGTGTATTAGTACATAAGTGAATGTAAAGGATTGGAATTTGAACTCGGCTCTCTGATTCCTCAATTCGAACCACTATCCATTACTCCACTGTGCCTCCTAGTTTTTGCACAAAAGGAAATTAATATTGCTTACATAAAAAAAAAAAAAATGTCTGTTATGTTACACTCACATTTAACGGGCATCCATTCATTTATTAAATCAAGGGTTTAATGTATTTACAAATTAACTGTTCACCAAATAAACTCAGTTAATTCAATAACATTTATATTCATTAATTTCTTCTTATAGAAATTTCTTGTAGAATATATTTTTACTGTAATTTACATGAAATTGGAAAAGATAATAAAAATCTTTTTAGGAAAAAATATTTAATTACCAAAAATATTCAGTGAAGGATTGATATATGTTCATAAAAATAACTTGTATTTTCTCATGAAAAAGTTGGTAAATTTGAAAAAAAAAAAAAAAAAAATCAAAACAAATTCATTTACATTTTTTGTATTCAGACCATTGTCCTCATCTTTGTTTTTATCACAACATTTCAGCTCTTGTGCCCTCTGGCCTTCCTCAGGTGTATATTGATCTGGGTAACCTACAGGAAATTCTGAACTGAACCTTTTATTTAATCTATGCAGGTAGACTGTTCTCGTTCCATTGCCCATATCTAGGGATAACATCTTGTTCTTATTTAGTACTGCTCAGTTATTGTTCACCCATTTCTACTGTCATGTTTTTGATTGCTGCTGCTGAAGATTTGCTGTTGTTTGTCTTTCTCTCTTTCAATGGCCAAGACAAAGATGAGGACAATTAGCCCAAATATAAATAGTGTAAATAATGATAATGTCTCATCCCAGAAATTCAGACAGAAAAAAAACAAATTAAACTTTGTTAAAGTCAGTGAACAAATAGAATGCTATGATTTCTCAAATTACCTTTGAAAAATGAACTGCTTTTTTATCCTCTATACATAAGTCAATTTATATGTACTTATATTCCCACAATACATATAATATGAATTTCTGAATTTTCTTATTAATCGCGCCTAAAATAACGTCCGATGTGCGTTTTCATTTATTTTATTCTCCAAAAAGACTAACTTTTACGTAGAAAAACAAGGGGAATAACTCTAAATATTGCAATCCTCCTTTAGAGAGTTATCGAAATTACTGAGCTTAATTATTTATTTTAAAATGAGAAAATAAACAAGTTGAAAGAAAGAAATCATCAAATACCTTCTTCAGCCTTCAGAAAATATTTTTCAGCCTGTAACAAAATATGAAAAAACAATGTTAGTAAAAATTGAAAAGAAAAGTGTTATTTAAAAATATAAACAGCAGTATTAAAATACCATTTTAATTTTTTTAAAGTTATCCATAGGTAAATTTTATGCAAGTAGACTGAAAATATGAATATAATAAAAACATTTTATATGATATAATAAATTAAAATATTAATATGATTGTGGTGAAGGCAATCAGAGTTGTCTCCCACTCAAACTACTCATCTATAAAAGAAATGGTCAAACTTTAGTCAAATTGCATTGAATAGTTTCACAAGTCTAAACATTCATTTGTTTTTTTTTTGTTTTTTTTTTTTACAATAGTATTATATAATACATAATTTCAAATATTTACTATATAATATAATGTAATATAATAAAAGCATTTTGGCACTACTTAAATAAACTGGTCCGCTTGTAAAAAAAAAAAAAAAAAAAAAAAAAAAGTCTTTTTGAAATTCCTTATGCTGCAACACTTGGCAGAACTGAAAATTATTAATTAGAAGGTCCTGTTCAGAATTGTTAATATATATGTATGCTGCATTTTCTATTTGTTCCCAAAATTCGTCATTGACAATCAACCTTTGCTTTATACCAAATCTATTCTTTGAAGTACACCTACTTGTTGAAGTGACTAGTACCAACAGGAGTTGGTCTACCAGAATGATCTTTAGTTGATCCCAAAATAAATCATGTGCATCATACTGTGAAAATATATTCTGTTTTAGAATGCAGCATTCATTTTCTAAAAATTATTATTTATTTAAATCAATAATTTGTATATCAATTTACATTCAAATAATTCAAAGTAACAAATGCCAAATAAAAAAGCTGTTTCAGTTAAGCAGTTTAATGATAAATTAAAAATACGAAATTAAGATAAAAAGCAGAACCAATATTATTGACAGGCATAAAATGTACAGACTTCCTTCACAGAAACCATGAGTCCATTTATGTAAAGTAATGATTAAATGTTACCTCTTCATAAGTTGATGTGGGTGGAGCTGCAAAAAGAGTTGCAGCTATCTTCTGCTGGTACCAGGGAAGATCAGCAAACATAAAGCACCTTAAAAAAAATTAAAAAAAATGAAATAAGAGTCAGACACAAATATAATGAGATCAGTTTTTATTTGATAAAACAAAAAAGAAAATATCTATGGCATAGAACAGAGATGTTGTTTGATGGTTAGAACAGACCAATCACTGCCCTTCTATAGTATCTTGCAACAGTTCAGGATTCATGCAGACTTCAGGACTTATTACTTTTTCTTCCCTGTACATTGCCAAGATGTGAAAATGAATCTAGTCATTTATGATCAAGTTGGAATAAAACCCAACACAGGAATTTTTTTTTTTTTTTTTTTTAAACAGATGAGCTGTTATTCATTATATCCAGCAACAATATAACTTAACTCACTATATATCTATAAATTTCAAATAAAAAAAAAAATTACAAGAAATACAACAAAATTTTAACAGGATTTCTTTACTCAGAATTTCTATTTCATTTATGAATCTAACACCAAACAAATTACATGATGATGCTTTCTATGTAGAATGAGTAACTGAATTTGCATACAAATGATGTAGATATTGATGATTATATTGGATTTTAATCAGCAAACACATTAATTTACTGTGTGTAAAATATGACTAAAAAAAAAAAAAAAAAAAAATATTCTGTATGCATTCTGTCCAAAAATTATAAAAACAACAAAAATGTCTATGCTTTTTTTTAATGGAATTTGCTGAAAAGTGAATCCAGATTTTTATAAAAATATTTGTAAGTTATTTTCAAGTATTTTTTGCATGTTTGTAAAATCTAATTTTTATTTTTTTATATTAGGAAACCGATTTTTTATATAAAAAAAAAAAAAAAAAAAAAACAACATGAAAAATTATATGTAATTTGTAATTATAAAGACACAAAAGTCAGTTTTTTTATGATCAAAACATTTAGCAAATTGTTAATGGTTTTTAACTGTGCTTTTTGCCTTCAAATCTTGAATGGCGCAATCTGTCACAGAGTTTGAAAATTTAGAGAGCATAGTTTAAGAGATTTTCTTTTGAACATCCATGATAGTCTGTTTCAGCTCCCCAAGAGGGAAATATTGGATGTTACCACTGTACACATCTCTTGTCATTATTCCAAAAATTCTATGGGATTGCAGACCACTTCATTAAAAATAAAAAGTGATTATTGAGGTATAAAACAGTTGTGTTTTCACAGTCTTCCTGAAAAATCAAGTGTTTTTTTTTCTTTCTCTTTGAGTCAAGCTGTATTTTAGTATTTCTTGTTACTTGAGTGCTGTCAAAGTTTTGTTAAAAGTACTAAGCAACATAACTCACAGCCCATAATTCCTCAACCCCTAAACCTATGAGTAATTCTTTTTGATGTTTCTTGTAAATCATACCAAAACAAACTATGTACTAGTCAGGCCAGTCAAAATTAAAATGCCTTTCATCTTTCCAGATCATATTCAGTAGGGGCACTTTGAGGATTGTCCACTTCTTAGAGATGCTAATGCAAACATACTTTTGACTTAGCTTGCAGCAGTATTACATTAAAGTTACTAATGTCATGATATGGTGACTGATTAATTTATTTATTTATTTTTTTTTTTTTTCACAGCTTATCAAATTTTTGTAGTTTATTGAAAGTCAAAACAAATTTTTGAGATTGCAAGAATAATTTTTTTTTGTGAGTAAATAGTGTATTAACAATTTTTGGAGTTAATTTTCAGATAAAAGTCCTACTATTTAATCCATAGATGAGGGAGAAGAGGTGAATTCATACTTTTCTCAAGGGTATTTTTGCATGTAAATAAATCTAACGAACCCAACTGGAATTCAAACTTGGCTCTTCAATTTCTCATCCTGAGCTGTTATCTATTACACCACTTGCACATGCAAGCTTACAGCACCTGGTATTTCCAAATGGTCACTCATATAGGTACTGACCAAGGTCAACATTGCTTAACATAAGTGACTGGATGAAAACTGGTATTTAAACATGATATTGCCATAAGCCAATGGCCAAAATATTGTAAATAGAGGATTTAAATATTTGCTGTATCTGGCTTATTGTTTATAGATTATTTTGCACTCCTTTTGATGAATTTTCTAGAGCATCTCTTACAATTTGTTGTCTTGTCCACTCAAACATGTTCATTTTCTTGCCAACTTGTAAGAATTATTTTTTTTTATGATGCAAACAAAGAATGTTTTGGCATTTTCAGGGAATCTTTTAAAGCTCTTCAGCATTAGAAGTACAGTAAAGTATCAAATTCAAAAACGTTTTTATAATTGCTGAACACTGAAAAGTAAGCTTTAATTATAAAGCTGAACTTATTTGACTATTAATCATTGACTAAAATACTTTAGAGTTATATCTACAGTTCACTTAAACACATAATTTTCCCAGCACAAAACACCTACTTCAAAGAGAAAGGCATTATTTTCAGTGTTCTCAATTTCTGGATAGAGTGTACATTCAAGTAAAAATTGATTTTCACTTAAAGAAAAATACATTAATTAAATAAAGAAATTAAAGGAACTGATCAGATGAAAAATTAGGTAAAATTTGGCTCAATAGGGACAAAAATATAATTTGCAAAGTGAAACTCACCAATAACCTAAGGAATGCCAACAAGTTGCATCATTGGAATTTAAGTCCACTGCTTTCTGAAATGGAAAAAGAAAATCAAGCAAAATAACTATGGTTGAAAAAACAAATTGTAAAGAATACACAAACATACATACACACACATTTTATTTGATTAAAGAGAAAATGAGAAAAAAAATATCCTAAAGTTCTTAATGAAAACATCATTCACTAGAAAAAAAAAAGTGACTGAAATTTTACACTTTATGAAATCACCAATAAATATAGAAAAAGTAAAAAGGGAAACTATTTATAATTGCCGTTTTTCATATATTTAAATTATACTTCCAATACAATAATAAAAAGAACTTATTCCCAAATAAAATCTGACTATATCCCATTAATTGTTTAGATTAATATTCATATATATATATATATATATATATATATATATATAAATAAAGGGAGAGATTGTTGTTGTTCTGACGAGAGAAAAGTGTATATTTTACAGAGAAAAATAGCTGCAAACGTTTTTCATGATTTTGTGGATTTATTTTATACACTTTATTTTGTTACACATTTCCGGTCTTGTGACCTTCATCAGGTGAAGAATGTTTATTTCCACATATTATTTAAAGGAATGAATATTTACTCCTTATGTTAAATCTTTTGTCTTTTGTGTGTAGTAGTAGTCACCTGAATCCATTTTGGACTGGTCGAAAAATGTTCCTTTCCTTGAAGGGTCATAAAACAGTTAAATTTGGTCAGAGAAAGGGGAAACATAGGTTGCCTTTGTTCTTATCTTTTTATGTGCCTGTGTATGTTTTTCATTCCTTTCTCTATTCCTTTTGTGTATGTGTATTCATTTTATATATATATATATATATATATATATATATATATATATATATATTACTTTCTCAAAAACACATATTGCACCTATCAGCCTGCATTGTACACTTGAGAAAAAAAACAAAAAAAAAAAAACAGGGCATTTATTTCAAACCAGTAGGTATCCATTAAAAAAAATGTCAGTTTTCAATCCTTATTGTATGCTCACAATTGTGACCTTATGTCAAACGGAGCTGAGTGTAGTATGTGATTCATACCAGAAAATAATACGATAGGTCGGAATCAAATTTAATGTTGATCAGAAACCTTTGATCTAAAGTGTAGCAGAGTTGACGCAGAAGGTATCTTTAATAGGATGTCAGTAGCAGCACCAATATAACACACAAAACCAACCCAGCTAAACTTAAGATATACACACACACAAAAAGACCAAATGACAGTAATATAAATGCCTGACCTGCAAGGGAGCAAGCAGAGTCTCTCATATTCTCGTTAGAAGATCAAATATTTGTTAAAGTCTCTGAAAAAACTACATACCAAAAGTACATACATTCATTGTGAATAAACTGTTTTCATAGTGAAATGAATAAACAGTAATATTACATATAAAATATTTAGTTTTGTGTCTTTATCAGACTAACATTTTAACACCATAATGTTACATAAACTTCTTTTGCTGTCTTTTTTGCTTACAACTATGACTTTCACCTTCTGAAAATTAATGCTTTGTCTTTCTTTCTTTCCTTCCTTTATTACTTATCTTAATAGTTCTTTCAGTTCTCCTAAATCTCCCAACAATGCAGTGTTATCTGTGTGGTGTATCTTGCTAAATATGGACAGTATCTTCAATATTTACTTGCCAATATCTGCTCTCATAGTTAATGAAAGTCATTATAAAAGAAAATAATTCTTTCAAATATACAGTATATGAAAGTTACAGCAGAGAAGTTTTCTTATGCAGGAAAATATATTCATCAATGAATTGTTAAAAATCATCACCTGGGCTGAAATTAATCACTGTTTTCAAGAATTAAGTCAGTTTAATTAATAAAATTTCTATTGATGCATCATGGTTACCCACATAACACCATCATTTAGGGTCTTTACAAATGATTCAATATACAAATGTTAAATTGGTTATAAAAGACATTAGAGATTTGAAAAATTAACTCACCAATAAGTGTTCTTTAATCAAATATGCATTTGATATCCGAGTTTTCATGCCTTCATACTGACCAACTTCATCAAGTAATATTGCATACCACTGAAACAAAATTATAAAATATTTTTAAACTTCATAAAATGTATACTTAACAGTTGCAGAGTTGTTGAAAGTATTGTTACATAACAATAACACAAGTTAAAACCCAGTTACCGCCCCTGACATATGCATACTTTTATTTAAAAGATACAAGCAGGTAAGAATGTTGATATTCACGGCAGGTACAAAAAAATACATAAAAAAGAAATACAATGTTAATACAAACCCATATTGCATATTAAACTAAATTATTATATTACATCTTGAACTAAATTCTCAAGAACATCTTGTTCTCAAGAGACCAGCCTGAAAATCCAGCTGTGCCATGGAAACAAGTCAAATACACACTACATTTCAACAACATAACTGAAAGCAGACAGCTGAAATTATGCCAACGTCTGGAATTGGGTCTCCCTTGTCTTGCCTGTGGGTGAGTTTGTGGCAACAGATTCATCATTTACTATAACTTCCTACATAACATCCTGGAGCTAGTATCATCATTGCACATAGCAGAACAGAATGGACTAAACTAAGGGTCTCAAACTTGCAGCCCACTTTTATTAAAAGATATACTTAATAAGCACAAATGGGTGGAATATGTGCAAAATCTTGCCTATCTTCCATAATATCAAACTGGTTTAATTTAGCTTTGTGGATCCATGGGATCCTGGTTGGGAATCTGTTCCTAAAGAAGTTCACGGATCACATAGTTAGGAAGTTGATGTCCTCTCCATTGCTAATATCCTGGCGATGGGCCTGTTTTTAACTCACAGCACCTCTCCCTCAGCACAAAATGACTCTTTTGTGTCGCCGAGTTTGAGTCCCCTGAACAAAACTATGCTTAGTCAATATCTAAGATATATGAATATTAGTTACCTCCCCTGAATCACAGGAAATTTTGATTTTGTTTATTAAAAAGTTTTAGTTTTTGTTCTAAAATTATTATATTTTGGTAATTTAGTCAAACTTTTTAAAAAAAAAAAAAAAAAAAAAAATCACAATTTAACTTTTAATAAATTCTTATATGTAAATTGTTGGTTCCAATCCCTACGGGAAATGATTACAAAATACTTTCCCCATCCCAATTTATTGGCAGAAGCACACAAATGCATGCTGGGATTTCTTCCCTAGCTAATAAGATAGGCAACTTCTCAGTCCTGGTCTCTCTTGCCTTGAAGTCCTAACACTGCTCATCCAAATTTTCTCTTTTGTATCAACTCTAATTCTTAGTTTGTGAAATTTTTGCACTATTACTGTTGCTTTGCCTTATTACTGTTAATTTGCCTTGCATATATTGTTTGCTTGCTTTATATTATTTTTTGTTCTTTTCATTGTAACCATTTACAGTTAACTATACTTACTACCCACTCACTCTACACTAAGATGGATACCAAACTGTAAATTATATTAATTAAAAATATCTAAAATTTGAATATTTAAGAACAAAATAAGTTTAAACTGATAAAAAATGAAGTACTGCAAAAGATGATTTCTTTGTGTTAAAAAGAACATCATAGAAACAACCTCATTTTAATTGTTTTATAATTCATTTTCTAAAATTATCAAAACAAATTCTTGCATTTCAAGCAAATATAGATAATAAAAAACATTCAATATGGTCAACTTATATTGACCAAATCAATAATTTTAATAAATTTTTAGTAAAATATTTAGTTTGACTTAGTCCCTTTACCAAAAACAAAATTTGAGAATCCAGTTCAGAGAAAGAAAAGAAGAAATTAAAATTTTTACCTTATGACAGGCATAATTTGATTCATTCAAAGTAAGGGCTCTCTTTGCATATCCAAATGATTCATACATGTAAGTCTTTCGCATCTCTTTGTTGTGTTCTCTTTTGGCTTTGTCATAGGCAGCACGAGATAAACGCCACAGAAGTTCATCATTCTCACAGTTTTCATAAGGCTTCAACAGTTCATACAATTTACAAGTTTCATATGCCGTGTGCAGCTGGTCAGCTTTTTCAAATATTTCTTCCAAGTTCAGAATTTTAATATCTAAGTCAAATGAGGAAAAAAAAAAAAAACGTCCTAAAACATTTTTTTATGAATGAACACTTATTAACAAATGTAAGTTAATTAATCTCTCAAAACACTTTGGTTTACAAATTCAAATCTTACCTGTCTGGATCTTCAACAAAGTTTGCATAAGCCTAAAATTTGTGTCTCCAATCTTGAATCATAAACAGCCCTACCCAACCCAATCTATATCACTAATATTATTTACTACACTCATCCCCTCAGCTACAGTAACAGGATATGACACATGGTCTTTTTAACATAAGCAGCCCATACACATGGGCCCAGAGCAAGAATTGCACACTTCTTGTAACTACTTTCATGATGGTGTCAGTATTTCACCAACCCTTCCTCTTTAGTGCAATGAAGAAGGCATCCTTCAAAGCTTTTTCGTGGACTGTCCAAAGACAGAAACATGGCAGAGAGGTGAAGAATGGATATTGCATTTTGACACCAGCCCAGGAACAAAACTGTGTCACTAACATTTTGCGATAAGTCTTAAAAATTGGTCATAACTGAAAGTAAATATAATAATCTCTTTTATTTATAATCTAGTGATAAACAGTATATACATTGGCTAAAATGTGTACACTGTACAAATTTTAATTTGGAATAATATCTACATAGTAAAATAACATATATATAACAGAAAATGTAATTAAAATATTAAAAAATTCTATTAATAATATTCTAGCAATATATAATAATAAAACGTCTTTATTTAATATCAGATTTAAAAAAAAAAAAGACTTTAAACAGAAGCATTACATCAAAGTTAAAAATGCATACATCAGTTAAAAATGCTAGACAGAAATCATGAGCTTCTTTTCTTATCTGCCAACAGAATTAGTCTAGGTATGATTTATGACACATAGATGACATATTAAAGTAGATTCATGACATGTAGATAACAAGCCAAAGTAGTACTGATAACACTGTTTTGCTGAATGAAGAAAAGTTACTAACTACAACACAACATTTACATAATAGTAACAAATCTTAACAACAGTATTTCTCCTCTGTGAAAGAAGGCATTGCAAAGTTCTTGGCCTGAATCACTTCCCGAAATCTGACCAAATATCAGAATTTTTGGGGAATAAGTCCTTAATCCAGCTGAGAACTTTTTAGTACACTTGTTGTCATGTCATTGCTTATACTTGCTGGGATAGAACGTTTGCAGACTTATGCAAAAGGATCAGAGTTTTATTTGTTAAAAAAGAAGCAGACAATAGTGAAAACCCAAATGAAAAGGAGTTAATTTTATAGCTGTTCAGTGAAACAAACTTGACTTCAGTCCTGGCCTTCTAATTATACTAAGATCTGAAAGAAGACTCAGATCAATAACTTTTATCAGATACCTCTAATAAGTCCCAAATCCACAATGCAAGCAAATATATTTCAATTCATCCTAATTATAGGAATTAAGCTTTCAAAATTTTTTTTTGTGGTGGTCAAGTCAATTTATAAAAAAAAATATGTTAAAGAAAAACATACTTGAAAATGATCCTCTTGAAAGGGAATTTTCAGTAGACAATGAACAACTTACCCTTAAAAGTTAATAATATAAAATATACTGAAGAAAGAATTACATAGCGGGGTTGATAACAAAATAAATCCTATGATACTAGACTGGTGGAATTATAATCAAGGCAAAACTGGTCAGACAAGGGTTCCAAGACAGAGACTCAGAATTGGTTAGAAGTGACACCTACATGCTCAAAGGAAAGCCTGTAAATTATACTGACCATCACCAATTTCAATACAGAATTTGATTGTATGGTTCAACGACTCAGTGAACATGAAATTAAGTTACTTGTTGCTGTACTGGTTTAGAGAGCCCTGAAGAGCACCAATCTTGGAGAAGACGATGAAAAATTAATAATGGTTGCCATTAGACACTTAATGAAATAATGATTCAAAACAAAAAGATGATGGGTGTTAGACCAGAGACTTTTTTTTTTATTACTGCTTCTCCAGTAATCAATCAAATTAAATCTGAGCCAAAAGATGTGAACTTAGCTCAATCTTTAGATGGGAAAAGATTCAATTCATTTGTCTCTGGAATCTATGATGAGCAATTTCAAAGGTTAAACATTTCTGGTAGCAGAGTGTAATTAACATATGGAATAATTTTAAACATACTTTGAAAGTCACTTCACTGTTTCACATCGATTTAACAATCAAAGATTCTATCAACCCAGAGTATTTGCAACAATAAGATGAAGTAAAAATATTAATAATACTAATAACAATAATAATAAAAATAAAAGAATGATTACCTGGTGTTGCTGTGTCTTTGTTTTCTGATGTCATACTTAAAGCGTGTATTGTAAGGGGTGTAAATAAAGCTCCTGCCAAATACGGACGTTTCTTTAGAATTGTTAGTGCCTTCAATAAAGAGAATAGAAAATACATTCATTTTTATTAAATGACATAAAAAAACATGTCATAGAAACCTATAACAATTTTTTTTTAATGCACATTCAGCTATTAAAAAGGTAATTACTGATAAAGTTAGAATTACATACTAAGTGTATTTTTGGAGAACTCACTTAGTTCATTCCGTTTTATTAGTTAAAAACTAGAAAACAAAATGGCTAATAATCATCCTATGATTGAGGTTATCTAATAGTAATGTACTTTCAAAGGTGTACATATTGTGTGATATACTGGAATAGACATTGCACAAAAATTTCACACCAGACTGTTAAAGGAAGCCAAGTCCTGGGTTGACATCTGTCCACTAAAGGCAGAAGTACATGACCTCACACCTGCATCTGGTTTGCAGGCATGGGAATGATTTGTGATGTATGTGGTTATATAAACTACTGTTGAAAGAATTTCAGGCAATCTCTCACTCATCACAGACAATGTAAGATCCACATATCAGACCAAGGCTCTGGAGGTCACTTCACAATCATACCTCATGGCTGAGAATAACTGACAAAGTAAATTCAAGGCCAGAATGAGCAAGAGAAATTAAGAAATACTGATACCCATATTGCTATAGATGACAAAAAGGTATTTGATACATGACAGCATAAAGTGTCTTAAAAATTTTAGGAAAGCTTTATCTACATGGAAAGGATAAACAAATAATCTATAACCTGTATTGGAAACAAAAAACTTGTATGCAAATAGAGGAGTTAAGAAAATAGAAATAAAAGTAAAGATTTATTATCTCACTGGGTTTATTTACCTTGTAGTTAAATGATTCTCTGAGAATTAAAGGATCTACCAAGATTTATTATAAAAACATATGCTATACAGATGATACTGTGTTAATAGCAGATTCAGAAGGAAAACTGAAGGAACTATCAGATAAGAGAATCTTTAAAAAACAAGAAAAAAGATTGAACATTAATTGTAAGACAAAATACATGATTGGAAACAAAAGGGGACAAGGCAAGATGAAACTTACATAGTGTGGGATGTCGATATCAAGCAGGTATGGAAATTCAAGTATCTTGACAGTGAAATAACATGATTAAAAGTGTGACATAGAAATTTGAAGGCATATAGGAATAGCAAAAGATACATTTCAGAAACTAAGTATGGTATGGAGATAGAAAAATAACATTAGAAACAAAGACTAGAGTGCTGGAATGCTATTTAATGACTATCCTTACTATATGGCAATGAAGGCTGGACAATTTTATCACAAATGAAAAAAGAATTGAGACAAGTGAAATCTAATTCTATAGATGAATATTGAGAATACCATGGATAGTGCATGTGATGAATGAGGAAGTTTTGAAGACAATAAGAACTACAAAGTAAATGTTGATGGGAAAGAAGAAGTTGAATTGTGTGTGGGTATATATATATATATATATATATATATATATAAAATGAGGAAAAAAAAAATTGGTGAATTTAACACTTACAGGACACACCAAAGAGAAGAGAAGCAGAAGAAAACAATAAGTTTGAGCAATTTGAGGGAGAAATAAGTACCATGGCAACAAACAGGGCTCATAGAAGAGAAATTGATGAGAGACAGACAGATTGTCCATATTTAGAAGAACATAATCATTTCCCTCTCACTTTTGCTTGTTAGGCTATTTAATTATCAAGAGACATTTTGGTATTTTATTTTCCTCTAAAAAACACCCGAGAAAATGAGATTGATATTTATATCTTTAGAGATGACTGAGACATAAATTCCATAGTTAAAGTTTATTATTTGCGATGTCAAATATGCCAAACCTCTAAAAGAATTATGATTGGGTGAGTGCAGAGAAATATATTCTTTATTAGATGAAAACTAACATTATCACAGCAAAGAGTTCTTCAAGTATCCACAACCACAATATAATTAAAAAGGAGGTGATGATAAAATTAATTTATTGAAAATGCTATACTTAAAACAACTGATTTGGAAATCTACTGGCAACTAATTACAATTTTATATTTGTGGTGTCATTTGAAATAACACCAATAATTTTTCAGTCTAATTCTGAAACAATGAGTAATATTTATAACATCTACTATATATCTCTCTACTTTGGATATCTACTATCATAATGACATCTGAAGATAGTCTGAGAAGTAAATAATAATAGGCATAAAGAAGATTATACTGTCTTTGTTAAATTACAAATTATTAGATGATTGTTTTTGTTGTTAGGTGGCATTAAGAAAAACAGGTTTAAGATCCCAAAAGATCATTTAATTCTATTGTTGCAAATGTTATATCAGTATGCATATTTGAATAGTTTTTCAGAACTGACATATTTTAACACAATTCTTGATTTTGGCACAATTCTCAATTAGAAGGTTAAAAATGTCAGTCAAGGTGGCATCTTAAAGAAAATTGCAAAGTGAATCCCAATATATTTTGCCATAATTTAAGTTTATTGAACATTATGTTTTCATTATTTAGGCTTATTTAGCATTATTATGTGATTCCATTATTTAGGTTATGTTCAAAAATAGAATATTTAAATTAATGATAACAATGTATGCAAACCTGAACTACCATAGACTCACTTTTTCTGATTGCTGTAACTTTACACAAATACCAAAGAAATTTCAGACATCAATTTTAAAGCTCATGGCTTACATTTATTAACTACCAACAAATACGTGACTTTATTCTTTGTTAAATAAATTCTTAAAATAAAAAATATCTTTTCAGTGCAAAAAATGTGTGCTGATCACTTGCATGGAATGAGTAAAAGCCCCAAGAAATTTTGAAAATGGTTAACAAACAGAATTAAATGTACAAAGGCCTTTTTTTTTTATTCAGCACTGGGGAAAAATGAGAAATTAGATGAGAGGTGCTTAAAGAATCTAATCTGAATATTACCTTAATATAACTAGATATAGCCCTGTACCCACCAGCTACAAATTGAGTGAAAGTGATGACAAATAATAAATTACTTCCTCAGTCAAAATCAAAGAAATTATCTCTCAGAAGAAAAAAATGAACTTCAAATTAAGTTTTTTACATAAAGACATATACATCAAGTGGTTTTCTTAGGCAGAATTGTATGATTTGTTTACATAATGACATATTCACCAGTAGTTTCAAAGAATAACTTTGGGGAAATAGATTATCAGAACTCAATCAAGTTGTTATCTGACCATGTGCTTTCTTAAAAGAAACCCTTCAAAAACATAAATGGTCAGATCATTCCAACACATCATTGGTGAAAAACTGAGTTTCCTATATAGAATTATGGTATACAGTTATTAGGCAGCTCTTCAGATGCCATAGAAGAGAAACAAAGGAAATATAGGAATGATACAAGAAAGGTAGGTCTTTACAGCAGCTGTAAGAAAGACAATATTAGTGCCTCAACCTTTCAAATTGGGAGAACAAGCAGAAATACAACTTTTACTCTATGATCATCATAGTTGTGAACAAGTGATTCTAAGTTCAGACTACTGTGTATTATGGTCAAGTATTAGAAGCAAGATGCTAGTTTGAAACACTTATGCAACCAACAGCGAAAATAAACTGTTCAGTTAAAATCTTAAAGCATTCCAATATTCCTTGTCATCATTCAGTCAACCTCAAAAAAATCTGTCAAATTTAGTTGTGTTTGGCGCATGCTTGGCTAGAGTTTACACTATTTCAACCCTGAGCTTGGAACTTCTTCAGATGTTATTTAAATAAAGGCACTGCTGAACCAGTGATCAGAACAAGCAGTTCATTTCTAGCATCTCAAACATATTTTAGGAAGGTATGCTGCAGACATTTCATACATTTTAAGAGGCTGAATGAAAAAACAAATAAATGTGTCATGAACAGATAAATTAATGAACAAGATATGAACAAAAAAGTTATTTTTTATTGCTATCAAATTTATAAAGAAGACTCAAACTTCATATTTCACTAAAATAACTGCAATAACTTTAGTGCTTTTAAATATCTATGGGGATAATAAGTAGAATAGTCTTCCATATGACTTAGTATTTTATTTTTCTCATTTAAAAAAAAAATACTATGTCCCTTCAAGATGTCAGCATTCATGGCTTTCCAGAAGTTCATTTAATTTTTAATATCTGTTAACTGCTCTCACTTCTTGGGAAAGAGTGAAGTGGTTTCTCAGTTTAGAATTCAGAGTTTCTCTAAGAATGGTTGTTATCAAGTGTATCCAATGCCAAGCAGAAAAGTGTAGTTTAGAAGTTTTTTTTTTTTTTTAAGATTTCTGATGATAACTAAAGGAAAGCAAAATGTTAACTCTGGCTAACTTAAGTGATTTACATAAAGAAAATGTTCTCTTTATTGTTTCTCTTAGCCAATTTTTTAAATAAAAAGGATATCTAACTTTATTTCATAAGCTTTTGTATTCATTTTTCTACTAAATGTTTTATTAATAAATGTACTTTGTTTATTAAGTTTCCCAAACCAACTGTAGAGCCTGAAAATAATGAATTTTAATCATTGTATCGGAATCAATAAAAATATTTGTGTTAAAGTGTTAAATTCTCCAAGCTCCCCCCTCTTAATTATGTATCTCCTACATTTTAACTGTCTCTGATTGTTAGCAGCAGTTTCTTTGTAGTTTCTATTCACCATTATTTCGAGTATTCTCCATTTGTGAGAAAAATATCCTTTAGTCACTACCATGTAGAAGATTAGTATTATATTAAAGTCCAACAATCTTCTTTGTCTAGATACTGCCACTGAGTCGCTAAAAAATGAGCATACCATGATGAAAAAATGCTCCAAACTTAATTAAAACAAAGTTTTATCATCAAAATCTTTATATTAAGACCAAATGATTTTTTGTTTATTAAATTGTATTTTCAGATCCTTTTTAGAATGTTTGAAATTTTAGTTAAAAATCTTTTTTTTTTCTTGCAACAGCATCCAAAGATTAATATAGAAAATTTTAGCAACTTTTTTGTGGTGAAAAACACACTGATTTAGAAAT